TAAAATTGTAATTCAACATTTTATTGCCGCTCATTCATTTCAAACAGTGCTTTTCTACTGCACAACAACGTAGAATAAAATTAAATAACACCCTTAACTACCAAGAAATTGCCCGATTAGGAATAACAAATACGCCTTATAATGGAAACATAATACTGTAATACTGAAGTTATGGTCCTGCAAACGGAATTAGCATCATTGCTACTAGCAAAGGACGACACGATTGATTGGTGAACTACCAAGAAATTGCCCGATTAGGAATAATAATGCCTTATAATGGAAACATAATACTGTAATACTGAAGTTATGGTCCTGCAAACGGCATTAGCATCATTGCTACTAGCAAAAGACGACACGATTGATTGCTGTTTCATCCGGTGGCTTCCTTCAAGTTATTAACGACTAAGCCGCTAATGTTTACGTGGGCAGACAAACTCTTCTCGCATTTTCTTGCTTTCCACTTGATAACTTATGAGTCTTGTTCAAATGATTCAACGGGTTTCTTGTAATGCCTTGTTTTTGTCGACAGTCTACGCACAACAGCTTCCTCCTCGTCCCTGTCGCTAGAGGAGGAACTCCTCTTGTCAAAATAGCTTCATCTTCGGAAGTCATGGCTGCCGTTTAGTCAATTTCTTACTACTGTATTACTTTATCTGTACTGCTTCTTCTTTCATTTATTGGCTTTTATTTTGTTTATTTCAACTACTAGAGGAGGAACTCCTTGTCAAAATAGCTTCATCTTCGTAAGTCATGGCTGCCGTTTAGTCAATTTCCTACTACTGTATTACTTTATCTGTACTGCTTCTTTTTTCATTTATTGGCTTTTATTTTGTTTATTTCAACTTTCAAACCAATGTTATAAGGAGGACTCTGATTGGCGAGAAAAAAAGTGCAAATAAGGCACTTGTAACCCCTATGGAATCAAATTTATCCGGCACAACTGGTCTCAATTTCAGATTTGTTTACGTGACCACAAATGAAAAAAAAAACAAAAAACAAAATGATTGCAGTACAATGAAACAAAACACTTTCAAACTTGGGCTAACGTGATGCAAAACAACAACGGAGAAGGTGATGCTCAATTGTCACACATGTCTACAGTAGTTGACCACTTACATCACCATCACTTCCAGTTTACCACTTCCAAACATATTTAAAAACAAACAAACAAACCAATAAACTGCTTACTAATAGAATTTCTGGCGAAGGTATTCTTCTCTTCTCACATTCACTTCCATTGATCCCCACTAAACTGAGCTCTAGTTTGGGAAGCTGGGGTTTCATTTGACGCCAGCATCCATGACTGTTACGTTCATGACTTATCTGACTTCAAGAACCCCCCCCCCCCTCTTTGTGTCTGCTTGGATTTTTCCCTGTATAGAAATTCCACAGCGTGCTGTTGCTTACTGTCATGTTGTTGATTCTTTCGGAAAGTGCTTCGATTTGCAACATGGTGCCCCTTGTGATCCCCATCTGCAACACACACGCATGCATGCACAAGCAGTAGTGATTTATGATGAAGTGTGAGTTTATTTGTTTTTTTTTTTCAGCTTCTCAGGTTGTGTGGAAGTCAGCAGCCTCGTCAGCCAAATGATGGTGAGGATGACTTAGGATGGAGGATTAAGGCATGATGCGCGTGGCTAAGGTCCAAGCCGTTGATTGCTTTAATGCGCCACTAATATTTTTTGCGGACATAAATATATTTTTGAAAAGCTCAGCCTTTCATTTCGCCCTTCCATTAAGAAAGTGAGTTCTTTAATGCTAAATTAACAAAGCTGTAGCTCTGCATGTTCTCTTCACACATTGAAGTAATACTTGCTGCTATTACGCTTAAAAGTAGTGATTTATTATTAGCATTTTTTAAAATATCTGAATAGTCTCATCAATCCGGAGTTGTTTGAGCGGTAGAGGACGGGGTGGATGTTATGACGGAACACAAAAAACTTGATGCAAATCATAAAAACATTCTAATTGGAATAATAGTAACAATGACTATGATTAAAAAGTATACCTTTATAATAAAACGAACCATGAAAACTAGTCATATCGAGAAGAAATTTCAATTTGTTGATAGATGCTGTGGTAGGGTCACACCGACTTCTGGCCGCATGTTTTGGACACTCGGGTGAAAAGAGAAGCGAAGTTGTAAACCGACATGATCCAACTATCAGACCCAAATGTATTGTGAAGGTCTGAGCAGTGCAAAAGCGGCATTTAGCTTTGGTGGAGGAATAAACTCTGGTATGGGAGGAGTTCAGTGAGGCCATGGAGAACATGGACAGCTTCAAGGAAATTCTAGTCCACCATTCGGCATCTCAGGATGGGGAAGCCGTGCACTATTAACACTGTCGGCGTACTGCTGACCTCGATTCACGACATTGTGAGTCGATGGGGAGAATTCTTCAAAGACCTCCTCAATTCTTGCAGTATCTTTCTCAAGGACACTTCGACGGGGATCAAACCGCCAACATCTGGGTTGGGAAACGACCACTCTACCACTTAGCCATGGTCCTCAGTTGGAAAAGTCAGGGACGAGATCCTTACGCCGAGTTCAAGTATCTTGGTGTGGGAGGTTGGAGCAGGTGATCGACAGGCAGGTAGGTGTTATTAACAACTTCTCCGATTCGGTTTTGTAGTACGGTACTTCAAAGAGTACGTCTCAAATGAGTCAATAGATTTGTTGGCCAACCTTTTGTAATTGCCACCTTTCCCCAGACTTGCTGCCTGGTACAATGTAAGATGTAAAGTAATGACTTGTGATATGTTTAAATAGTGTTTTAGAGCTTTGCACAGTTTATGCATATGGTTGTTGCTTATTGCTGCGATTGTAAAATTTCCTTGTAAATGTTTAGGTGAATGTTATGTTCCAACAAATTTACTTCCACTTCAGTCCAAAAAAACGAAACAAAACAAAAAAAGCTTCAGTTCACTCAAATGTAATCTTCAACCCAATTGGTGGGTCAAAAATAATAAATCCAACCTGGGGTAAAAGTAACCCAATCTACTTCTCAAAATCTACAACGAGTGGGTTAGGAAAACAACAGAGCATTTTTGGGTGTGCACTGCATGGTAATGGAAACATTAATTAAGAATGGACTTTTGAGTAAAGTGTCCATTTACAGTATAATGTTTATATAAATACATTCTAAAACCATTTCCAATAAAAAAGAGTGATAAAACCAAGTTATTGGAAGCATTTTAATGTGTGGTTGACATATCGATAGCATTCCGACTTCAAATTAAATCCTACAGTTTGAGCCGAAAGCTAAACTAATCCAAATTTAAAGAACTGAATAAACTTTTGCACATGCGCACACACTCTTGTTCATGTAAATTGCATTTTAAAAAAAAATTACACAACATGTCGCGTTCTTCAAAGAAGCATTCGTTAATTTAGTATAAAAGTTTATCTACTACTGTTAAGTAAGGACAATGTACAAAATCAGCTCCCGTTTCCAAAATAACCCTTCTGTTTCTTGTTTGGCTCTGCAATTACATAAATAATAAATACAATTCTCTGAGAATAAAAGCAAGTACCGGCATGTCACAAGTTTATTTTAAGCACGTGGTATTCAAGCTGGAAAATAAGAAGTAGAAAGGGTGCCCGAGTGAATTCACACAAATATAAAATTATCACTTGTTGGCGCACAGTGGTTAGGAGAACTGCTAAATACCGTGAAGAGTGCCTTTACACTGTCACCGGGAAAGGAGGCTGACGCTGGGTTTGTTTAGCACCTGACCAATAATACAGGAGGCGGACTAGATCCATCATGACAGGCAGCTGTGATTGTGGAGCCATCAAGCAGCTTTATCAGAACATCACAGAGATCTCTTCACTTGTCAAGGCACTTGGTCACACTGATGGGCTGGGTTGAGGATTGAGGAGCACGGGATGGGGGTGGGATGCGGGCTGAGGTATTGAGGGCTGCAAGCAAAGGAAGGAACAGAGGTACTGATTGGCTGGGGAATAATCACGACAATGTCCACGTTTGTGACATATGTGATGTCATGGAAAAATGTCATTGTCTGCTGTTGGTGCCTACCTGGTGGCTGGAGTGATCCGGCTTTCTGTCCGTGATGGTGCTCAGGCCTCTGAAGTTGTTGTTGTAGTGATGCGCCTGGGTGCTGTTCCCTGTCGAAAGGCCCTCAAGAGGCCCGGCAGATTCAATGGGGCAAACGTAGTCTGTGGATTCATCTGGCCGCCTCCTCCGCAAATGTGTCAACTTGGAGAAGCCCAACTTTTTGGGCTGCAACAAAAAAGACAAAAGACTATCATTTTGTGATCCAGTGGGGCCTGGAGATACAAGTTTAATTTGTTATCTTAGCTTCAGGGAAAAACAGGTCACCTCAGTGGCAGTAAAGGAGCTTGGGGAAGCAATAGCCACGAGTATAGACAAAGAATTTACCGTTGGGATTTTTCTAGATCTAAAAAAAAAAAGCATTTGATACCATGGCTCACACTATATTATTGAATCACTTAGAGCAGTGGTGTCAAACATACGGCCCGCGGGCCGGATCCGGCCCGCAAAGGAGTTTAATCCGGCCCGCGAGATGATTATGTAAAGCATCGGTGTCAAACATACGGCCCGCGGGCCGGAACCGGCCCGCAAGTAGGTTCAATCAGGCCCGCAGGATAATGTAAAAGTGAAAAAAATGCATTAAAGACACAGAATTAATATTTTTAATCAGATGCAATTCATTGAGTATCCGCAAGGGGACACTGTTTTGATCAGAGAAGAAGACAACAGCAGCCTCAGTCTGTCACTGAGACAGACCCATGACAGCAGACGCTATCAATAGCACTCTCACATTTACACATTTAATAGCACTCTCCTTAGTTTGTAAGGTGTAGGCAGGGATTACATTTAGATTTTATATGCACGTGTAAATGCTTTAAAACTTGCTTTCTTTATGAATCTTGTTTAATCTTAAAGTGCATTACTATATTTTTCAATACCAATTACTTGTTAAAGTTTGTACAATCAGTGGGATCAGTTGCAATGCATATATGTGAATGATAAAAGTAAATTGCACATTTGTCGAAGGAAATGTAAGGTGCTTCATGAAATGTTTTGTAAAAGATATGTTCATTAAATTTCAATATTTTCCTAATGTTCTTGTGCTTCTTTATACCAAAACAAAGGAAAGACATATTGTTTTGGTTATTTATAGCAAAGTATTGTATCATTTTAATGGTCCGGCCCACTTGACATCTACCGAGGCCGTATGTGGCCCACCATGTGAAATGAGTTTGACACCCCTGACTTAGAGAGATATGGCATAAGAGGTGTAGCATATTAAAAGATAAAAAGTTATTTCGACAATAGATATCAATATGTGCAGTTCAACAACATAAAATCAAATCAACTGAGGAAGTCAGCAAATTGCTGAAATGTCGTCATTTTTGGAGGGTGTTAGTTGGAGTGTAATGTCATGGAACACACGAAGAACAAGGGGTAGGACTGGAAACTTTGCGAAATGACGACCACTTGTTCTTTTCTTCTTTTAAATCTTTTACTTCTGACCAAATTTCTGTTATCTGTTTTTTACATGTTCAAGAAACAAACACTTGGAACGCAAAACACTTCACTCCTCACTGAAATAAATGCGAATGCTATTAATCTGCTGCGGCCTCCCCCAATTAAACAACACCAAAATTTTATATACATGGAAAATACAACTCAATACTATTTTGGTTTACACAAACAGTAATAACATAATTAAGTAGAAAATGAAGAGTGAAAGAGTTTGTCCATCTTCCAAATTCATAGCCACTGCTGTTGTGTGCAACTTGTGTTCGCTTGGGGGTATTAATTTCAAAGAAGACTTTCACAACTAGTGTCAGTGAATCAGTAACTACAGTTTTAGTCATTTTCCAGAGGATAAAGAAAAGATTCAGGTGACTATTGCTGTGTTGTTTGTCCACATGTGTCAGCTTCCCTTCATTTAGTCTGCTGGCATGACAAGTACAATTCATTCTGTCGGTGGTCGAAAGTGCATCCAACCACATTGCATACATTGTATTCTATTGCTATCATAGCATTTTTAACGCAGCAGTCAAGGTTAGGAACAAAGTCTTCCAAGTCATGTAAGGGACAAGTTCCATTGCTTGTTTCTTTCCTTGGAAGGAACAGCGAAGAGGATTGCAAGCTGAGCCTCGAAGCTGTGGAGGGGGAGGGGAGGGGAGTTCCCACCTCGCTTTATCATCTTACTGCAAATGTGTGGAGCTTAAAGTGAGTTGACACAACGAGGACTCGCACAGATAAAGGTGCTTTCTCTCCCATGTTAAAGGGAGAAAGGAGTGGGTTCCTCTTACGCAACTATTTATTTATTTTTTTTGACCTCATCTTTCTTCCACCTCCACGCTGTAAGATTACGGTCGCGCAAGCCTAACTTGCTTCTTACGATCTCACCTTGACTTTGGCAGTGATGCTGAGCGGCGTGGAGTTCACTGCTTCGGTGTACTCTCTCTTCTCCTGCTGGGCTTGCGCTCCCACCAGGTTGCTGAAATTGGTGGCTAAGTGGCGCCGCAGTAGTGTTTTCTGAGGAGGGATGTTAAGCAGCATCGCCAGCGAGTCGGAATTAAACCGAGGCTCCAGCATCTATTCAAAAAAAAAATAAAATAAAAAAAAAAGGGCACTGAAATTAATGCCTGAAACTTGAGTCGCAACCCCGCTGTGAGCATACTCACGATTAATCCTCCGTGAACCCCGCTGCCCCTCAAGTTTGGGGCGTACTCGGCCAGGTCCACAGATCTCAGCCACTCCATGACTCGATGATTGGACCACTGAACCACCTCACGAGGAGAACACTGGTTCTGAACCACACACGTAAACATGGATGGTGACTCTATTTACTCATCACTCAGTTCTGCACATGGTAATGAATTCTGCCTTATATGCATAGGTTAAATCACTGAGGGGAGGCGGGGTGGGGGGGGGGGGCGCACGGGTGTTCGATAGTGGTGAGAAAATCACAATAGGCAAATTTAAAACTGTCTTTAACATTTACATCATTAGTGGAAGCCAGTAAGACTGCATTCTGGGTCACCTGAGAAACTGTTGCTCCTTAGGAGGGACTACGTTTTTGGTTAGCATATCCTGCTTACTTTTGCTGGCCTCAACAGCTCTTTCAGGTCCATGAAAGAGACCAGAATTTCAGATCTACAGATATAGTAACTGACCGTTATTTTGCAAGGTCTCTCTATTTGGGTATTTAAGGAGTTATTGTAGACGGAAAAAGTCTCAACAACTCAGATGTTGGGCTGTAGAGGCAAATTGCAATCCACTCATCAAAAAAAGAAAATGACATTGGGGTTGTTGGAGGGACACAATTCGGCTTTGTGAGCATACCAAGGTGCCCTTGATAAAGGCAGATGATGCAATAAAGAACACGCAGCAGAGTAACATGGAAATTTCATCTCATCCATTATTTTTTAGCCAACATGCACGCATTTCTCACTGACCTCGGTGCCAGGCCTGCGCTTGAGACAGTAAGGGTTGAACTGGTTAACATGTAGAACATGAATAGCACACTTGATGCTGAGATGATGCAGCTGGCTGGTCACTTTTAGGGCCAACAAGTCATTCTGAGAAGACAGATGGAAACATTAGTGCTTTGTCAACAACGCTGTATTGCTGTTATGCTATTTCACTTTCGATAGAACTCACCACAGTAAGGTACTGCAGCATCTGCCCATCCACTCTTCCTTCATTAAATTGGTCTTTATACTGAGGAAGGCCGATGTCATCGAGCCAGCCTTCGGAACATCACGTCACGTTAATTTTCACGTATTACTGTTACTGCGAGAAATACTCGTCCGGTGTTTTGTACGTACGAGTGACCCAGAGGTAATCCAGCTCGGCAGACTTCTCGTGCTGCTTGCTATTAAACGTCTTGATGGCTAAATGGAGTTTCTTCCTGTGCAATGGATTTTTCATTCCCATTTCCTAGAAAGAAGAAAAGGCGCAATTCATTTCTTTGTCACAGCTACGTTTGACAGTCGACACTTGAAAACTGCACCTGCAAAAAAAAAACAAAAAAAAAAACATCATCCTGTTGAAAGAGACAGAGTAGATGAAGCCTAAGGAGGGGTGGGGAAGATAACGTGACATTGTTGAAGGCAGAACTAAAGCGTAAGATGAAAATCAGAGACAGGTGTTACTAAAGGTGAAGTGAACGGACAAACAACAAGAGCGAGGAGACAGGTACAACTAAAAACAATTAACATGCTGCGCAGAAGATAAGCCTGACAGCTCAATGAGCAGATGATTCAGATGACTAAAGTAATAAGAAGTACAAACTTGACAATAATTGACCAATTGAAGACTGTTTTTCATTGTGGTTCAACAGAATTATTATCAAAATGAAACCAGACAGAACAAAATAATGGTACCGTTAATGTAATATTTTGTTGTCCAAACATTTGATCAACTTCCAGCCAGCCATTAAACAATTTTGGTAACTTTCAATGAGCCTTCTGCACCTCTCAGCAGGTATTTTGGCCGACTCTGATAACCTGTTCCAAGTTGTCTCTGGTTTGAAAAACGCCTTCTTCACATGGCTCCTTCCATGGGTGTTCAATAGGATTTATATCAAAGGCCAATTAATTTTGCTCTTTAGCTGTTGTGTGTGTGTGTGTGTGTGTGTGTGTGTGTGTGTGTGTGTGTGTGTGTGTGTGTGCGCGCGCGCGCGCGCGCGCGCATGGGTACCTTTTCCAGGTCTTGTGCAGTGGCAGACAGTAGAGTTTCCCCGCTGCTGACCCACTGGTGAGCCATGGCAGCATACTGGCGCAGTCCAATGTCTTCTAGCCATTCACACACCTGCTCGGTGTTCCACTTAGAAAAATGCATCTTCAGGTCTCTAAGATTCAAATGGAAGAAAATTGATTTTATTTGGAGGTGTATCATGCGGCTATTGAATTCATTGCAGGCCCTTGGAGAACGTGAGCCAATAGATCAGGGGTGCCAATACATCGATTGCGATCGACCGGTAGCTCTCGGACTGGTCCCAAGTCGATCACGAGGGGTCTAGAGGGGGTAAAAAAAACCGAACCCAAAACATTTGTGTGTCTATGTGCGCGTTATTAATACGATATATTTTTGTGTTAGTGCACAGTGCACCCTTAGCATCCTATCAGTCTCACTTTCACAAAAAGTATTTAAAAAAGAAAATGCAAAAGCAGGTCACCTTCAACCTATGGTGGCACGTGACCTCCATCACTGGAAGTTGCTAGCGCTCAGCAATCTGCAAATGCAGCTTCCGATCAGAGATGTTGCGCTATACCTTTTATGGTTATTATTATTCTCATTCAGAGTTTGTTACATGTAAAATTCACCGAGGGCATGGGCAAAGAATGGGAATTTGGAGTGTGTGAGAAACATTTTAAAACCGTAGAAGTGGGCTACGGTCGTTAAGAGGCTGCAAAATGCGTCCCATGCCTCCGCGTCAGGTCTTTACTAAGGTAGGCAGTGATTTGCTTTTCACAAACTCACAATTTTTTGTGTCTATTTTTCTGTTTCATTCATCTTAGGGGCCGTTATGGCTATTGCTTATCGATGCATGTGTGTGTAAGCGGGCACTAAAACTAAATGACCAGAAGGACCACCGTTGACAACTGTTTTGTGTTTGTTCCAATGTGCAAGGTAGGCGTTTGTAATAGCCAGCATGAACAACAATTGCAATTTTTATACAATGTGGGCATGTGGTAATCAACTGCGTGCTCATGTATCATGTACACCGTGAGCTTTGTGGATGATGTGGGGACTTTCTGGCTGTTTCTATGATGTAAGGCGATAAGGCAAGCGCGATAATCGATTATACAAGAAGTCCAGATTGTTTGCCACTGCATGATAGTCAAATACTATAAACCAGATTTTAGATGTCACGCATCCCAATTTGTCCAGTGTGAGTGCACCCTGAGTAGTTATTTTAGCTTATGCGGACAGAGGTTTTTGTCTGTACAATTAATGTCAATTGCGCAAGGAAGGAAATTTTTTACCACTACCTGTGTGTGTGTGCATGTGTGTGTGCGTGTGTGCATGCGTCTGTGTGCGTGTGTGTATTAACAAACAGTGAATGTCTTTCGTACCGTATGTTCCCTGAACGTGCCTGTCTCGTTCTGGGGCCTCTTCTCTTGAAATCGCCAAGCTCTGGGTCATGTATCTGACCTGGACTACCTGACTGACTGCGACGAATTCTGTAAAAAGCATAACCACCCAAAAAAATGAAGATTACATAATGACTGAAAGCAATCAAAGCCATCACGATCAAATGTGGTGGAATTGAGAAAATGCTCTCTGTTAATGTGATTACTTACAAGCCCCAGAGCTTCTTAATGCCTCTTTGACTTTTCCTGTTTTCGAGCGCTATAGGAGAGTCCATTCCAGAGGACAGAGGGGACTGGTCTGACAAGATACATTCTTCTAGCTGATCTGAACATTCTATCAGACAAGAACAAATAAGAAGTACATAAATTAGGCTGCCGTGCATGAAGGCTGCCGTGCATGACAGTACATCACCTGCACAGTGACTCCTTTTGAGAGCTTTCTGCATTACCGTCATAATCAGGACATACTGAAATGTATCATCAATCCATTTTCTACCCCTTATTCGCTTCACGGTAGCTGGAGAATATCCCAGCTGACCAAGGGCGAAAGCCTGCCTACACTCGGGATTTGTTACCATTCGAGCACAGGACACATTGCAACAAACAACCATTCACAACCGAGACATGCACAACTACAGTCAATGGGCAAGAATTGCTCTCCGGCCAGCCGCATGAACATCTGCAATGCTTGGGACTCTTCTTGGAGTCATATCAACAACATGCACTGGTCACCTATGAATAGATGTGTTGTTGATGATGAAATGAAAGCAAGGTTTATGCGTATGTTTACTTGACTGATAGTGGTGCACAGATGAATTATGCAATACCCACCAGTGTAATAAAGATCATACTTCCCCGGAGATCCTGAGCCAGGTTAGTAAAAAGTGAGAGGGGAAAAAAAAACAGGCATTAGTCACACCCAAAAAGACCTCATATATTGATTGTGGCAATAGGCAAATCAATGAGCCTTAGGCAGGCGCAAGGCTGCTAACCTTTTTAAAATGACTTGCAAAGTTACTAATTCATGTTTATTTAACAGACGCTACTGCATTATCTGCCTTAGTCCACATGTGAGAACAGGACAAGCTCGAATAATGAGGTCACGCCACACCCGCAGCGACTATGCAGTGTTTGTCCTTAATTTGTCTGCGTCATCATCTTCACAGCCTAAAACATGAGTTTAACAAGGGCGGTGCTCGAATAAACTCCTGCAGCTTTCATTATCGTACTAACTCCTAAAACAGTTGTGTACAGGCTAGCGTTTGTGTCGCGTCTTATTCCTCAACATGATCCTGCCCCAAACTTATGCCGAGATCATGACAGATGAGAGCACAGACAGCGAGTGGGATGTTTGTTTGGTTACTTCAGATACTTAACCTTCAATGAAGTGAACACATCATTAAAGCGTGGAGCCCTCGTGCCCTCCAGCTTTGAGCTCGGCCTCACCGAGGGAGAGTCTGGTATTTTATTACAGTGTTGCTTTCGCATTGCAAAAGACTCTTCCTGCATGACATTAATGAACATCTACCGCTGAACATCCGCCGCAAATAACGGACACAATACGAACTGGATTTTGCTTATGACATTTCTGTGCGGCTTCCTTTTAATGAAGACGAATTTCCGGTATGGCGACTTGAGCATACAGTACCTAAAACTGGAGCACTGGCACTCCTGTAGCGAACTGTAGCCAGATAAACAAGGAAAGGGAAAAATCCAACAGCAAAGCAAGCAGGAGGATGAGAAAAGCACAAGAGGAAAGCAGTTGAAGGCACAGTTAGCTGACGGAATTGTTCAGTCAGATGTGAACTGAAATCAAGCCGATTAAGCAGGACGTATTATGATCAATTGATTTATTATTGTATACTTCACTGTAGTTGCTGCCAGATCTTGACACCATTGTTTTAGGTGTTCAGTAAATGAAAAAAACAGTAATGTCAGATGTGGGTCACTTAAAAATACAGTGATTGTTAAAAAAAAAAAAAAAAAAAAGATATATTCAATCAATAGGAATTGGGCACCCACTCATATGACATCCACCTGGGTTATAAAATATTTGAGTGGAAAATCCAAAATTGAAAGCGGCTAAAGAGAGAATCCAGATTGGATAAAACCCAAGATGGAGAAACTCACTTAGACTGTAGTCTTGGTCGTGGCTATGGACGGGTGAGAGCCTTCCAGGAGATAAATACTCTTCGTCTCTTTCCCTGGCATCATTCAGCTTGGTCCTGAGCTCACCTTTTCGACATAGCTTCCCTGGCAGCGTCTGGTACTTGTTCAGCTCCATGTGAGCATTCTGCCAAAGACAAACGATCCATTATTATGATTTGTTCTTTTAAAGATGGGCTCAAATTTTTGTTAAATTAACTGCCACAGCCTCGATAGTGTTTCAAAGAAACAATAAGGTGGAAGTAATTTTCTTTCTAATGCATGGGATACATGCTCCTTTGCTAATTCTGATGACTGCAAATATACGTCAAGTGTTCGCCTTTGGTCAGCGCCCAACACATCCCATTTGATCATGACGATGATTTGATGTCGTATTGTTGCATAACGGGACGGTGCATGTAGGGCGCTGCATCAAAGTCATTGGGGCTATGAGGAAATAACAGGAGAAAGGCCAACAGAAAAAAAGAGCTCGGAGGCAGCTATGATACTAAACACTTCTGACAGCTACTTCATGTGGATCCCGCCCCCGTCCGTGTCTGTGTGCGTCACAAACAAGATCATACACTGTATCGTTATGTAAAGGGAATTTAGCCCCTTGGTGTGTTAAATGTAAAAAAAAATACGACATAAAATAGATATTTTAGCACATATAAAAGCACATTTGACAATAAAGTTGTACTTGACTTAATACGGTTCTAGCGTTTATAGGAAGGGTGTAATTAATCAGTCAAAGAATGAACAAAAACCATTAGTTCTGCCTAGTCCTTTCCTTGTAGATACTGATTCTGTTTGTTCCATTGTAGGAACACATTTTCACAGCTTGTGTTCCAAAACGATGGTGCCCCAGTGCACAATGTAAGGTTTAATGTTAAGATGCTTATGAGTCAGGTGTGGAAGAACTTGACTGGCCTTTGCACCTCCCATAGGTGTCATTTCTAGGCGTTGTGATAGTTTTGTCTGGGTATTTCGTAGAGTATCATCACATTTTTACTCTTTTTTATTTTTATGTGATGTAAGTCAACTTTTATCGTTTTTTTTTTTTTTTTTTTTTTTTTTGGGGGCCGTTTCCTAGGTGGGATTCTGAATCTGCTCGTTTTTTGTCAGGTTTCCATAATGATATGAAGATGATAATAATAATAATAATCTCAATAATAATAATAAAAAATATATAATACATCATATATTTTATAATGTTAAGTGAGTGTTCTGTGATTGGCTGGCAATCGGGCCAGGGTGTCCCTGCATACTGCCCGAAGACAGCTGGGATAGGCTCCAGCACGCCCCGCGACCCTTGTGACGAGAAGCGGATTAGAAAATGGATAGATGGATGGATGGAGAATTTATTGTTAGGTTCGGCAAAAGGTGAATTTTTTTTCTGAAATTTCACAGCTAGGGCAGCCTGGTGGTCGAATGGTTAGCGCGTCGGCCTCACAGTGCAAAGGTGCAGTATTCGATTCCGGCTCAGTATTCCTTCCTGTGTGGAGAATGCATGTTTTCCCCGTGCCTGCGTGGGTTTTCTCCGGTTTCCTCCCACATTCCAAAAACATGTACAGCAGGTTAATGGAACACTCTAAATTGTCTCTAAGAGTGCATGTGAGCGCAGATGGTTGTTCGTCTATGTGTGCCCTACGATTAGCTGGCAGTAAGCTCAGGGTGTACCCCACTTACTATGTACAAGGATAAGCGGAGCAGAAAGTGGATGGATGGATGTCATGGCTAAAAATCATAACGCATGATAAAATCCGTCTTGCACAAACTTTTTTTTTTTTTTTAAAGGTCAAACTTCAAAAATACCTCAAAAACCTGATGTGAAAGGAAAAAAAAATACTTTTTTTTTAATGAGTATCAAAAATACATTTAGGGACACATAAGGCCATCTCTGAATAATATTTGCTGTGGATCTTTGTAATTGTTCAGAAACTGTGAACAGGGAAAAGAAGGCCACTGGGCACCTGGGGCAATCCCGTACTTGTGTAATATTTACTTAGCATTTTGCATTTTATTTGCAACAACAGTGGTGACTTAGTAAGCAGTGCTACCAAAGTTCTGTATGGAGATTTAGAGTGTGTCCTATCCTTTCTTTGTGCAGCAAAAAATATACCATAGTAATAATAATAATCATAATATTAAAACTTTACATTCAAGAACACAAGCTCAAGAATTAGAAATGTGAATCCTAAGTGACCTTATGTAGTACAGTATGTGTCCCGTAGCATCACAAATGCAGGCATTCGTTGCCTTTTAAAGAATATATAAATTATATTTAGATTTTTAGGATGCTTATATTTATATTTTATCATTTATATTTATTTATATACTTTTTGTTCTTCTCTCTCTCTATATATATATGTATATCTATATCTATATAGATATAGATATATCTATATCTATACTGTATATATGTATCTATATCTATCTATCTATCTATATATATATATATATATATATAGAGTGTGTCCTATCCTTTCTTTGTGCAGCAAAAAATATACCATAGTAATAATAATAATCATAATATTAAAACTTTACATTCAAGAACACAAGCTCAAGAATTAGAAATGTGAATCCTAAGTGACCTTATGTAGTACAGTATGTGTCCCGTAGCATCACAAATGCAGGCATTCGTTGCCTTTTAAAGAATATATAAATTATATTTAGATTTTTAGGATGATATATATCTGCATGATTTATAGCTTTATTGTTGTATATATGTTAGTTGCTCCATGTACAGCACTTTGTATGCAGCGATGGCTGCTTGAAAGTGCTCTATAAATACAGCTGAGAGTTGAGACTATACATATATATACTTTTGTTCTGCTACTTCTCCCTTTCATAATTTTGCTGCTGTAAATTGGGAATTTCTCCATTGTGAGACAAATAAAGGTTTTCTTATCTTTTCCCATGGCTCATTGAGGAGTGTGTCCCTGTTTTGATTTTATTTTGTTTTTGTTTTTTTATGGAAAAATGCTGTAGGTAGACCTTTATGCTTCAAACAATCAACAAATGTTTATAAAGCAGTATGTTAGATTGTGTTATGCCATGCAGTAGACCAGTACCTCTCCCCCTATGTCTGATTCACTTTCATCTGGCCGGGTCTCAACAGGCTACCACACACACAAATACACACATGCAAGCATAAAGAACAAATTCAGTTAGCCGGTTAAAAAGAAGCACATCTATAAGATCACTAAGAATAATTTGTATTGATTAGTCCAATTAGATTAAGAGCAGTATGGCAGTCAAACAGGAGCAGTAATATATTGTGAGAACCTTTTGTAAAGATCTGCTCTGCAATTCCTCAAGACTGCTAGACTGCAACCTGCGTTGATGCCTGAAGAAAAAGAGAAGTACTGTTGTTTCGACCTCAATTATGACATTTACCGTTTTTCTGCACTATAAGGCGCTTTGGATTATAAGGGACAGAGAATAGAAGCTACAATAGTGGCTGTGGTTGCTTTATGCATCCACTAGATGGAGCTACACTAAAGAGAATACAATAAAATACAATACTGCTTTATTTATAAAGAGCCTTCAGCACTAGCTGTAACAATGAGAACCCGGTCACAAACAGGGACATATAAATGCAAATGGCATTACAAAACAATAAATGGAATACAAATGTTATGATTCAACAAAAAGGCACACAAACCTTGTGGGCTCACGTCCACAAGGGGCTATATATCCTTTGAAGTCTTGCTTGTCTCTTTCTTCCTTCGTTTAGTGAGTAGTTAACTATGCTTTTGGTATCTTCGTTTTATAATGCCTACGCAGAGCTCACAAAGTGGTTGTCTGTTTGAGTGTGTGTGGCGAATACACATGTCAATTAGTGTCAGGCAGCGCCCTTTTAGATTACAACTGGTTCCTGCTAATAATCGCCACTAGATGGCATAGGAACACGAACAGGGAAACAACTCAATGGGGAATATAAAGAGACTGCAAAACCGTATATAAGGCGCATCGGATTAAATGGTGCACTATCGGCTTTTGTGGAAACTGAATGCTTTTAGGTGTGCCTTATAGTGTGGAAAATACGGTACTCATATCAATCTTTTCCTTTTTTGTACATGCTGTTGTATCAATGAAAATCAAGGAGTGAATCTTCACCATAATCCATTTAACAAGCTTGTATCGGCAGTAGAAAGTGACACGTCCATCGGGGTCTGAAAACTAAAATAAATGGCGCACAACATACGGGTAAACATGTTGATCCACAGTTAATTGTGGGGAGTGCAACATCGTAATGTTTTTTTTTTGTGTTAATAATATACCATAAGTCTAGTTCTCTCTGGTAAGGTGATGATGATGTTAACATAAGTGGTGAAGATCCTCTTGATGACATCTATGGAAAAACAAAATCATTTGTTACGATTCATAAAATGTCAATCCGATTTGTATACCAGTTTTTTCTTCAGGCTAACAACAGGGACTGGAGTTTTCCCCAGCACATGAAAGATGAAAGTTGGCCGACACAGTGTCCCAGTTGTCAGTCAATCAAGGAGCGATTGTGAAAAGCGCATTCAAGGAGGAACTGATCCCACGCCAGCTACGCTAAAGTCAGCTATGTGAACCATTACACTAGCAACCATAGCCTCTTAAATAAGATGGTCCCCCTGAAAAATAGTGCCATTCTATTGAAATGTAAAAAAAGACATCTGTGATGAAATACAAAGCAACACAAACCTTTGAATTTTTTTTTTTTTTTAGGTTATAAGGGACGCTGTGTGATCTTACCTCTGACCTATAGATATCACAGTGGGCTTTTTGTGTGATGGCTCTGACTTTCACACTGCCACTGAGCTCCTCTTCACTACTTCCTTGATGGTAGAAAATGGATGAAGAGAGGAGAAAAGAAAACTTACTGGTAAGCATGTAATCTGTCTATGTTTTACTCAGGAAAACACAACATGGGTTCAAAAATTGTTGGATGATATTCTTACCATGCGTGAGTGCCATGAGCTCATTAATTTTTCGATACTGGCCAAGCAGACTTGTCAGCTCCTCGATACGGCGCGTCTGTTCATTCAAACCAGTTGGAATTTTGAGTTCTGTCATTCATCTCTCAACCCCCAAAAATACTGTATGTTTGATTACCTTTTCATCATTTGAAGCTAAAAGAGACTCCATCCCCACCTTCAGCCGCTGGTATTCCTGGTCTGAAAACATGAGCCGTGCAATTTAATTTCATACATCCAAGCTCAAGTCAACTTAATTTGATGAGTCCCTGCACTGGCTGATGTTTGTGAAAGACAGGACAACCATGCTAATATGACGCAACAAACAAAATAAATGCATGCTGACATGAAGCATAACTATCTGTCATCTGGAACAAAAATGAACTGTGAAATTACTTCCATGATGAGGGTGGCGTTCTCTTGCTTAAAAAAAAAAAAGGCAACTGTGTCATATGATGTCATGCAGGCTATGGAGGACGAAGATTGGAATCAACCACTGCCTTTAATAGTTCAGTTGACTACTAATGCAGATGAGTCTAACTTGGCAAGTTCATACTGACCAGCCACTACATCAGGGATGGGCAACTTCAATGCTGGAGGGGGCCACAATTTTTCATCAATGCTACTGGATGGCCAATAGGACTACCAACTTCCCAACCAGATGTATGAGAAGAATGGCATTGAAAATATGGACGAAATATGTGCATACATGCAAAATATGTGTTCCTTATATCTTTCATTTCTTGTAAAACATTTCTCAATGTATAAAAGATGCACTACCCTTTGAACAAAAAAAAAAAGAGACCACATACTGTGACCCCCGCTCAAAGTGCAAAGGGCTTTTTTTTCATACAAAATTATGGTACCATTCAAGGATGGCACAAAACTGCTGAACAGCAAACCAACTCATTCTGGGCATTTAAAAAAAAAAAAAAAATCTACTCACTTAAAATATTATTGAAGTACTACGTTTTCCCCCACATATCGTTCATAAATTGCACAAAAATATTTGGCTTGCTCATGTGGTAGTATATGGCAGTATCGGACCTAGCCATGTCTGACATCTAGTGGTGAATGGTCACATTATAATTTAAAACTACAGTTGGCACCTGTGGGATTAAATATTTTTAAAACACTTTTTCAGAATTTAAAAATTGTGTGTGTGTGGGGGTGTTCAAAAATTTTCCGGGATTTTACCACCACTTCGCCCCATTTTCGGTGAAGATATATCTACATATACATACAATGCAGGGGTGTTAACGGAGGGCCGTGATGACAGCGAAACCGAATAAATGTTTAATCGTCTCATCGTATTATTACTTGTACATGACAAACTAATGGATTTCTCATTTTGACATCAGTCAATTATATTTTGTTCAAGTGAGTGTCAAGAGGGTAACAAAATTATTGCAAAGTGTCCACATTATTTATTACACATCTCAGTACAGATTTTCGCAAGAATCATGGAAGTTGACACACGTGATTTGCTTTCGTGAACCACATAAAAGGATGTGGCGGGCAAGATCTGGTCCCCCGGGCCTTGCGTTTGACACATGTGATTATAGTAAATGTTTATCCGGGTTTTTGGGGGCTTGTAAAAAATGTTTTCAACTTTTCTTGGGGGAAATTAATCAAGAGTCCCCAGAGAGTGTGATCAGTGGTCATCAGTTGCCCATCCCTGTATTATATAATGACATCCCATATAAGAGCTATATCAAATATTATACCTTTGAAAAGGTAAATAATGCTGTTAAAGAGATGGTCATTATTGTGGTGGCAGTTTGCAGTGGTGTAAAACTGTACTGAATCATACATAGAGCTGTTCCTAATATTTTTTTACTCTCCAATCAAACTCAATGATAATAATGACATTAATTATAGTAATGATAATAATAATAATAATAATAATAAAATGGATCTATCAAAGATGAGTTAAGCAAAACTATGAGACACCGGTCTCATTATGATGCGATACAGCAGAGTTAAGTATTACACCATTGGAAATTGCAACCAAACGTATTGTTGAACTCACATTTCTCAGAAAGTGTGTTAAGATTGAGCCTCATTCTTTTTGCCATGAAAGGATTTACATTTCTCAAGGAGAACATAGGTTTTGTTGAAATTGTCAGTTTTATGATTAGCTGACGAGGCGTATCACCCAAAAAAAAAAAAAAATTGCTGAGGCCTAATCGCAAGCCAACTGTACTTGTAATATTCTGATATCCTAATCATTCTGGAACTGTGACTTCATTTGATGATTACATTGAGGTTACAAGGACAATGAGTTATACTGAAATCGAGACTCAAATGGTGTGTAATAGTCACAGTGAAACAGTGGCAGAGTAACATTCAGAATCAACAACGGGGTAAACAGGAATTCTGATGGTCCAACAGGCAGATGATCTGAATGGGAATGACATGAATCAATGACGGAAGGACTCCCCGTGCCTTACATTTGTTGATCAGATGTTTGATATACACCTCCTCTACAGCAGAGGGCAGCATACAGTCAAGAGCAAGTCAAATAGACGGCAAAGGAAAGGAAAGTTGTGAAGCTGTTCAGTTAGTTGAAGCGCAAGTAATTCAAGTTGACAGATGTGCATACACATTTACAACACTGTCCCTGAACTGTCGATGTAATATGACAGTCAGGCTGACATCAGCATGTACCTCTCTCTGCGTTGTCATTGGCTGTGCTGCCTCTGGCCAGAAGTTGGGTCTGCAGGCTTTCAATCTCAGCGTCTTTGGAGCAAAGGAGCTGCTGCAGGTCTGAGATTTCAGCCTGTGGAAGCAGATGAGCAAACCAAATTCATAAAGTCAGTCTTCCGCGTCTGACCACAAAATTGTTAGTACGCTTACATTACAGAAAGAAACAACCCCAACAGTCAATAAAATACCTTCTATCAGCTAGATACCAAAAAAAAAAAAAAGGGGAAAAAAAAGGCTGTGCTGCCACATCTGCTGCAGACCATGGGGCCTCCAAACAGCACAATGACCAAATGATCATATACTGTATATTTTTAAGATAAACATGCTTGTATGTGGCCATATGTTGCATCGTCTGATTTAATGAGAGAAAATGAAGACACAGAAATTATTATTACTCATCATTTAATCGATGAAGTGCCGCCACTGCCGCTTGTAAGTTACACTGCAGCTTTTTGAAATGGTTCTGTTCCAATACAATTCCTGTAGCTGTAAGCCGTGAGTGTTTTCTCCAGCTGTAAACCGTGAGTGTTTTCTGAGTGCAGGTTGGGTCAGGGTAAGTCTAACTTGCACGTTAGGGTAGGGTTGGTGCACATTTTAACATATTTTAAACATTGTAGTAGGCACTTGTTTTAAAACATTTCTGATACCTCGCCCTGGCTCAGTATCAAATTTAGAATAGGTTCGTTGGAGATAGGCACTCAGAAATGAAACACAAGAGACAAATCTGCTACTAATAAATTGCACGTTTATTAGCGCCACAGAATATGTCAAACAAGCAAATATCAAATATCAAGCTCTTAGAATAGTATCCAGCTCTTACCGTGCGTCAATAGGATGGAGAGCCAACACCCCAGGTAGAGCGAGCTTCAATACCACTCTGGACTCTTGACTCTGCTGACTCTGGACTCTCCTAATTCTCGGCTCTACTAAGAGTATCCGAAGTTCTCCTTTTATAGTCTAAGCGTGCCTGACGTCACGCTATCTTTGTTCTTAACAAATGACATTGCTCATCATCATAAACATCCTATGACATTGCTGTTTATACAAAGACTACAAAGCTATTGCGAGCCATTGCGGCACAAAGCTATTGCGAGCTATTGCGAAACATCTTTAAACATGGAAAAACAACACAATATAATTATTCTTACTTCATTTTTTTGTATGATCGATTGCTTACATTTTAAATGATGGAAAAACATCAAGAGTGGAATGAAGTAAGAATAATTATATTGTGTTGTTTTTCCATGTTTAAAGATGTTTCGCAATAGCTCGCAATAGCTTTGTGCCGCAATGGCTCGCAATAGCTTTGTAGTCTTTGTATAAACAGCAATGTCATAGGATGTTTATGATGATGAGCAATGTCATTTGTTAAGAACAAAGATAGCGTGACGTCAGGCACGCTTAGACTATAAAAGGAGAACTTCGGATACTCTTAGTAGAGCCGAGAATTAGGAGAGTCCAGAGTCAGCAGAGTCAAGAGTCCAGAGTGGTACTGAAGCTCGCTCTACCTGGGGTGTTGGCTCTCCATCCTATTGACGCACGGTAAGAGCTGG